CACACACACACACAACACATACACACATTACATATATATATCTATTATTTATATATATATATATATATACATATATATATATATCTATTATATACATATATATATATACATATATATATGTATTTACACACACACCCACACATATATATATGTACACATGCACACGCACATATATATATATACATAAATACATATTCACATACACACATTCAGAAACATTCACACACACACACATACACACATACATACACACATGTACACATACACATATACATGTACACATACATATATACATACTCATATACATACTTACACACACACATCTACATACACACACACACATCTACATACACACACACATATATATACACACACATACACACACACACATACATACACACACACACATACGCACACACATGCTTGTACACAAACACACACATATACATACATACATACATACATACATATATATGTGTTTATATATGAATATATATATATATATATATATCTATACAAATGTATATATCTATACATCTATATTATATATATATACATATACGTATACATATATACATACATACATACATACATAATATATACACTTTCAAATATATACATATACATAAAACCATGTACCCAAATACACATACATATATAGATATATAGGTAAATTATTTATATATATATGTACACACACACACACATATATGTATATTTATGTATATATATATATGTATATGTATATTTATGTATATATATATATGTATGTATATATATATATACTATTATATATATTTTATATATATATATATTAGTATATATATAGATATATTATATTTATGTATATATACATATATTATGTATATATATATATATTATGTATATATATATTTTAAGATGATGTATATAAATATATATACGTCTATATGTATATGTATATATTTACACATATTGTATATATATTATATTTATATATATCTATTTATACATATATCCATATATATATTTATATATCTATTTATAAATTTATATATATATTTATATATCTATTTATAAATTTATATATATATATATAAATATAGAAACATATATATATAAATATATATTAATTTATTTACAAATTTATGTATATATATATATACATATATATGTATATATATAAATATATATGTATTTACATATATACATTTATATATATATATTATGTATTATGTATATATATATATAGATATTATGTATGAAGGCTTATAAGTATATATGTTAATATATATACATGTATATATGTATACATGTATATACATACAGACATGTATCTATATGTATATTGTATTTATGTATATTGCATATATATCTAAATATCAATCTATATATATATATATATGTATATGTATACATGTATGTGTGTGTCTATATACATATATATATTTAATTTATATTCATATTTATATATATATATATATATATATTTATTTATTTATTTATATTTAAAGTATTTATATATATATATCTCGCCGGAGTCATGCTGAACACTTCACAGAACAAACTCTTAAAGGGCAGAACTCTCATTTTACCGCTCTTCAACAGGCAAATTCCGCACATTGGTAACTGATCTTCAGCCTTATATCGATGACAATGAGAGGTATGGTCTTTCCGTTGTATCTCGTGCGCTTTTCTTTGGAAATATCATTCACAAGCCTTCGGGGAAGCGAGTACGCTGGGATCCGCAGGAGCAAGCCATCCCTTGCAGTAAACGGGCATGGGGAGCAATATCGGCGAATGACCACTTCTTGGAGATTGTCGAGAAAAACACAACTAGTGGGGTGTTTTCGATCGATCTTGGCACAGGATCAATGGTAGATTTAGCTGGTCCTTGGCCCGTAGAAGTTTCGATAAACGATGAACCGGTCGTAGACTTTGAGTTTGGGTGCGATTCCGACTGCGATGATGAATGCGAGTGCGAAAGCCCAGTAATCGACCAGGAAGACCAGTTGCCGAGTGTGACTGACAAGGGCGATGCGGATGGTATCTTGCTATCCGATGTAGATACTCGGCCTCTGCCTAAGTCACCCCGTCACAGCTTGCGAACCTCTCCGATGCCATCGCCACAGAACAGTAGCTCGGATCTTAATGTGCACAATGTGGACTCTAAAAGGAGCCTCGACAATTGCACGAGCCATTTCGAGCACGGTGTCGCACGAGCGGCGTCGCATGACTATGGGAGCCACCTCACTGCGATTCTAAGTCCTAAACGCAGCTTATCTTCAGCTGGAACTTCAGGCGAGACTAGTCCGATCAGTAAGGGTGGCCAAAGAAGTCCTTTGAGCAATCCGTCGGCGACTAATCCGAATGTGCGGCGACAACGAAGGAGTTTCAATGCTTGAGCACACAATTTTTTCTCATCACTTACCACAAGTAAGCGAGCTGATCTACTCGGCTGTGTTATTTGAATTTGCATATACTCGCCAGAGTTAAAACGCCGTTCGCCCGTTACCATATTTACATCAATGTGTAAACTGTGGCCTTTCGACGCCAGAGTGCTTGAAGTGGTAGCTCACGTCTGAATGAAGCGTAACACCATATATTTTATACGAGGTATATTTTGATGGCGCAGTTGGTATGTAGGCGTAGGAACATATAAGAGGATACTAGGCGTTGATATTGCCCTTGCCTCATTCTAGGAATCATTAGATTGCCGCGCGAACGGGAAACAACAATCGCAATAAGTATGCTGCACTTCATTCGCAGTAGGTCAGACAACAGTGTATCCAGACTTTTACCCAATTATATTACAAGTAACTGCGACCTGCTAATATATAAAAAAGCGCATGTCGAAATTATCTTTGGTCTGCTTATAGTACCTTTTTTCCTCAACTTGCAATTGCATATACCAGTACGAAGGTCATATTACCGATGCGCCGGGCATTGGTTATCCCTAGACGACAGGTTTTGGCCATACGATTGCCATTTCTTCGTTCATTTTTCGGCTGATTCGATATCGCAACAGACTCGAGTTTTCTTGCTGTTAATCGATCGTGCGATATTGCGATCGTGGACATTACTCACATGCCATTTAATAGAAGGACTTAAACATGCACAAAGGAGATAGTAAGCTCAATATTTCCGGCCCTACCTCGGAAAGAGACATCCTCAACTTATTGAGTTTCCATTTATTTATCTTGAAGTCACCGTACCAGTTTACACTCCCGTAAATGTCGTGCAGTGCCGGAAGTGAAATTTTTCGGTAGAACCATACGGAGGGCCACGCTGGTTCAAGGACACCCGTAATCAAAGCGCCAGTCCTTCCTTCATCAGAAGCAGACTGAGAGCGACGGAACCGACGGAACCGGCGGTGCAGGCAGGTTTATTCCATCGATAAGCCTATATATTTAAAGAAAGTATGATGATATAAGGTAAGCAATATGCTCACCAAAAGGAGAGAGAAAACAAGTCGTACGGTGGATCGCAGTTTGATATGCAGAATGCAGCTCAGAATCCCTTCTCCTACAGGGAGTATGATTTGAGAACAAGGCCTGGAGATTGTAATAACGAAATACACGAATTGATTCTGAATCTTGAAGTACTGAATGCATGCACGACAGTGCTGCGAACAACATACAGGTTTGTCAGTGATGGTGAAATCGTACACCCAGACCGCGATGTGAAGAGTTAATCCCAGGCCAAGAATAGTTCTTGGATTGTGACGCACAGAACCTGTGGTACAGGCAAAAAACGCAGCCGTTTCAGCAAGGCAAAGACCCAGATGGGTGGACAAGTAGACCTCCTTTGGGGTCAGTGTCTCATCATGGAACGGGTTAGTGGCCGGATACTTCGCTCCGAATAGGAAGTATGCGCTCCAGCCTGAGTACGCAACAATGCCGGCCTTCACAAGGTTTGCTGAGAGGTTCATGTTGGATATATATTTGCTTTATCAAAACACTCTCGAAAATACTACCGCAAATGTGAAGTAGGTTTCTCTGTGCCGCTCTGGTTTATATTATTTTCTTTTCGATGTAGATCAGTATGCATTGGCAATAGGCCAATCAGCTACGCCAAAATGGTCTCTGGAATTCGAAGTTGCTTATGTATGACAAAATACATACTGATTTGAGATTAGTGATTACAGGCTACAGCCTACTAATAACTACATTCAGCCTACAGGTATGTACACTTTAAATAAATAAAAAATTCTTGTGAATCATGACTCCCTGCAGGGAGTGAGCTGAGCTCGGTAGTTTATTGAGTTGTCGGTATTTATTTGTTTGAATATATTGAGATACCGAACTACATAACCGGTATATTATTATTAATATATTCGTAATCAATTTTTAGGCGATCACAGATTCCACAAATAGTCCATAAATATCTGCATAATGTTTATAACAATTCGCTATTATGAAGCTACCACACGAGATAGAACCATCATCAAGTGACGGTGGTTATAATCGAAACAACTTCGGGTCTGACAAAGTAACACCAATTACGGCGCGAAACAAACTCAAATTTGAGCAAGCTATCGAAGATGGCTATTGTCCAGTCACATTCAAACGCCTGAAGTATGACGAACCGGAGAGCGTACGTCAACAACGCTTGAAATGACAGAGTATAGAAGATGAGCTACTTGCCACACAAAACAAAGAGCTCTATGCAGAAGAGAACAAAGCTAATATGGAAGCAATGGAACAAATGTATAGTGCTTTAGGGAAAACCATAACATACGCGGATTGCCAATCTCATTGTGCCGATTGAGAAAATCAGCTGCAATTGTGACGTCGCATCAAGCGTTTGACGTGTTGATACGAAGATTGTAGTTAACCGTGATGATATCATCTTTCACGTGGCTCATATGTTCACAGCAGGTATGTCTAACAAACTAGATATTATAGAAGATACTAATCGATCGGTGATTCTCACAGCCGATGAACATCGTTAGTTGTACTTACCGCGATCGATCGCGTAAACCCAATGGTATCCACTGTGAGCGTGCTTATTTAAATAGTCTATCATTAGACAGTTTTGATATTGCTACCTCGTCTAACACCAATAATGTAGAGTGCTATGACCCAGTGGACGATATATAGGACCATGATCCATGCCTTACCGAATCTCCTGAGACCATGGCTCGGATATATGCGGCAGAATAAGACTATACTATCGACGAAGATCGTAAGTATAAATGAATATATACTTGGACGCTATTTTATAGTATAGCCAAAAAGTGTGTATATATTTATTACTACTAAATTGTAGAACTTTAGCATTAACGACTAAAAACCAAATGTTAAATATATTTATATTAAAATCATTCAATACAGATATACAATATATGTTTAAGCTTATCTTTGTGTATAAATATGTATAAACTTTTGCACACACACACACACATATATATATATATATA